TATTTGACCTATCTGATCTAAATTTTTTACACTTTTGTTGGGAGATTTCGAAAAATTTAAAACTTTTTTGGGAACGACTTGATACCGTCGAATCCAATAGTCATTGGTCTTGCGCCAAATAAAAATTAATTTGAATTTAATAACACAAGGATAGATATCAGAAGGATCGATAGACAGATAAGTGGACGGAAAGATGGATGAATAGACAGACTTAAAACGTTTGAGAAAACGATTTTGAAATAACAGGTCTCTCTTAAGTTCTTTTGAAATAGATCCATGTGGTTCAAATTAGGTCCACTTAATATTTCTATTTAATGACTGTCATAAACAAACTTTTATCAGAAAAAAATTGACAATTAGGTTTTGCGGGCATGTATGGGTTTACGTTTCACGAGAATCCTTATAAGTGGTGGCATCAAAGAGCAGAGTTACGTTTGTCCGAATTTGGTAAGGTAAGCTTCTTTCGCTATTACGAGCACGACATGTTGGCAATGAGACCTCTTTACTACGTAAAGCTTCAATTTTCGTAGGAGCGGTTATGTGAGGTTGTTCCGGCCGGTCCAAAGTATTCACCCCAATTCGGAATGCCAAAATGCTACTACTTAGCCATTTTTGCCGAGAAATTTAAAAAATTGCCATAGAGGACGTTACACGGGGAGTGGTCGAAAAGGTGGTTTGATGCAAGTCTCTTTCAATAGCGTTTGTCCTTGGGCCAAAATACGTTTTGTGTACCAAATTTCATCAAAATATCTCAGCTTAAACACAAATTTACATAGACAGATAGACCGACGGACAGACAAGACCTAGATCGATTTAGAAAATGATTTTGAATCGATGGATGTAATAAAAACTTGTATCACAAGTAGTGTAGAGCGTAATTAGGACGAAAAGAGAAAGTCCTAAGCTGCAACTAATTATTGCTGCGTTTAGGAGCGACTCTAGAGGTTAGAGAATTCTTTTTAATTATGCCATTAAACTTGCCATTAAGCCGCATTTTCATAGGACATGTCTGACACGAGAAATGCATAGTACCTTTATGGCCCTGTCATTGTTTTATTAGAAAAGCGCTTCTTTAATATAAGACCATTTTGCGCTTTAACGGATAGGTTCAAAAAAAATGAAATTATATATAAAAATTCCTGGAAATTCCTTGCATGCAATTTCCAACATTACTCAAAAGTCTCGAAAACTTTGCAAACTTCTCGTAAAAAGCATTCAGATGTAGAAAGATAAACGAAGAAAAGATCCTAATGGAATCAATTCAGTCATATTCTCTCTATTATTTTCTGGATTCTCTAAAGTATTGCTCTGCTATGTGGTAAACAAAAAAATATCAAAAATTTTATTTAAAGACACCTGTACTTACTCTTCGTATTTATTATGCTAGTGGTTGATGGTGGCGGGTAACTTAAAACAAAAAAAAATAAAAAATCAATGACATACGATTACGTATGCTTTTAGCAAATGTTCTTTGCTTGTAATGTCTATATTACGTACTTACGTATATATATATATATATGTATAAGTCAATATATATGTGTATATATATATGTGTATAAGTCAATGCGTGCAAGTTGCATACATCGTTAAAAACAATAACTTTGATGTGTTTGGGTGCAATACACAGACGCACAAAAACCTATACAAACGTATGTATATGTGTGTATGTAAAGATATTATATGAAGAATCTGCCAAAAAAGAAAACAAAAATTTTTTTTCATTTCATGCATACATTTATAAAATATTAAGAATTTGCTGAAAATAAAACAAAACACAAATAAACATTCACATATCCACATTTATATAAATATATGTCTGTACATATATATATATATTTGTATATTTGTCTATATACATTTAAAAATAACTTGAGAATATTGTAAAAATTAGTGACGTATTTTTGTTGTTGCTGTTGCTATTGTTTAATTTTGTTGTTGTTTTTCTAATTTATTTATTACATTTTGTAGACAAGTCAATGTGTTTAAGTGTTTAATTTTGTTTTGTTTTTGTTGCACGATATATATCTGTGAAATATATACATAATACGATTCGCTTTGTGTGTGCGTCGTCTTCGTATATCATTGACAGTAATTTTATTAAGATAAATATTCTTTTAAAGAATTTATTAATGACCGTCTCTCTTAAGGTTGTAAGCATTCTTTGAAAGTAATTTAGACCTTTAAAAAGAAGCGAAAAAAAAAAAAATTAACTTTTTACATTTTTTTCATTTAAAAGATTAAATTTATTATATTAATTTACACTATAGCTCGGAAGAATCCATTTCTTCTTCCAAATAGTATAGAACATATCAACTTATGCTTTCCACGCAAATCGCTCTACAGCACACATAACTTATCTTACAAAGATATAATAAATTTGTGCGAATCTATTCAACAAGCAAGACAGCTTAAGATAGATTTTTGTTCTTTTGGTTTTGGGATCTTTTGCAATTTGTATATTTTCCTATATCAATTCAGGTACTCCCACTCTACAGGAGAAGTAGACCTCATCGAATTGTTGAAATTGCCATTGACTACGTTCGCAAAAAGTCGGCCTACTTTGGTTCAAGTCCCAACGCGTTAGACCATGTCCTTTTATCCCAAGCACTGCTATTTTGATTGGCCCGTAGCCGCAGCTATAATGAATTCTCGTTCAGTAGAACCAATCAGGCATACGTCCACAAAAGTAGAAGAGTAGATAAAAAGTGCGACTATTAAGTCGGCATACGTTGGTTCAACATTCAATGCGTTGAGCCTTATTTTTATTACGACCGGTCTGTGGCTGCAGCTCGATCAGAGATAGTAATAATGTGTGGGAGTGGACAACTACTCAACGTCGAAACCGAGGCATCCAAATGACTACATTTCTGTATGGACAACCTGGTCGATAGCAATAGTTCTTAGCTAATTAATGTGCATCTGTCCGATCATAAGCCCTTTTAATGGTGGGTAAAATTATGATTTCACTTGAGAAAGCAAGAGTTTATATACAACTTTCCGGTCTTAGTGTTATAGCTTGGAACTACAGGTTTATGTGTCTTTTCCTTCTTCTGCTATGATATGAATTGTTTACCATTATGTTGAATCGCCGCTTTGATGCTCTTGGTCTAGCAATATATTTTCACATAGCATCACTGCATTGTTTGCAGGCATCCGAATGGTGATAGATTGTTGAACGAGTTATAAAAATATTGACAAGTGCACGAGATTCATTATACTTCTTATATAAGCACACGGTAGTACCACATATTCTTTTGCAAAGGTCTTCTTCTTCGTAGACAAGACGCAACTGACATGTATTTAGTTTTTAAAACGTTTCCTTCTGCTTGCCTTGGCATCTTAATAGCATTCCTGCAAAAGATTTTTTTATTCACTCGCGCTACCCATACGGGTAACTGTGTAACTAATATCTTCCAACTTTGCTACTCTTTGCTATTAACTCCTCTAGTTGTACTAAAGTCTTACGACTTTCAGTTTACAGTTTCAATTTTTATCTCTTTAAAGTGTAACCTTCTCACGGTTAACGGTCAAAATGTTTTCTAAAATATTCCCTTCCATTTAATTTTTTCTCTTTCCGTATTAATAGGTAGTAAGTAAGAAGTTATTTACGCCACAGAGTACACATATTCTTGATCAAATATCAAATTCTAAATTGATTTAAGTCTGTCCATCTGTCCGTCCATATATGTTTGTTTTAAGGGCTCTCAGAACAGAAACATTTGAAGTTCTTACATGCAAGTTGTTATTGAAAATGGGCCATATCGGTTGAAAGACACGCCCACAACACCACATAAACTGTTTTTCAAAAGGATTAAGAAATTGGTTTTTTCCTCATTACTTATACAAACTATAGCAGATAAATCTACAATATTGTAATCGCATAATCCGCAGGTGTTGCTGTAGTACCTCTATAAAAATAAAAAAAACTGACCATGCCTACCAAATATGAAAGTGTATCAAATTTGAATTTTTTTTTTTTTAATATCTTTATAAGGCACAGTAGCAAACTTCAAAAACGCCATAAAGTATATAAATTCTTAGTCAGTTTCGAATTTGGAATTCGACTTAGCATGTCCGTCGGTTCCTCTGTCCGTCTGCCCAAGTGTATAGTTCTCCCGTTAACGAAAATGTCGCCTACAAATTTTCGAAAGAGTTTGGAAGCAACTTAAGCTTTTCCAAGGACACGCTTACAACGCTCACATGCCTATGCAGTAAAACCTTTTGTTTTGAAAATTGAAAAAATTATCCGCGTACATTCCATATGATTTACTTACTCTATATTTATTTTTTTTTTTGAATTTTTGGTGTTTTTTTTAGGATAACGGTGACGGGTATAAAAGTTTCGGTCACCACTGAATATACGAACTGTTCCATTCAATCTCATCTATCCTCTCTATTCAAAAGATTAGGAATAAAAATATAACCTCAAAAACCATTAATTTTTTAACCGACAGTATTTTATTATTTACAACCTTACAAATATTGATCGTATTTCCATCAAAATTCCCAGATGACATGTTGTAACTATTGGCGTTTGCCAATCATTATTTGGAATTGATTGCTTTTAGGAGCCATCACGGAAATATGTTTTTAATAAACGTATCTTCAAGGCCCGCTAATAATCGCTTTTGGCATAAAGTTTGAAGATCAACGTTCAGTCAAGTTCACAGATTCAAATCTCAAAAGCGCTAGAGTTCACTTTGGCCGTAACTATAGTGAATGCATGACCTTACCGATTGGGCACAGATCCACTAGACTGCGGCCATCACTTTCCTCTCTTGTTTCCGACCATCAACATGTTACACAAATAGGTGATGTTCCTTGAAAAAAAAAACCGTTTAAATATCAAGAATAGAGAGTAAAAAACCGTCTAAAAGGCGTAAAGGGTTAGGAGGCGGTTTATAAAATTTGAAAAGTATAAATGTTCGAACATCAAGGGTCAGAAATACTTAATCATATGAATTTTCCTCTTCTTCTTCTTCTTCTGCTGTTATTTACAGATGTATGGCCGTTATACGAAAGATTTAGGAGAATTTGCAAAAGATGAAGCACGAAAACTCAAATTGCTCGAAAAGCGAAGAAAATTGGAAGACAAGCAAAGAAATAAGGTAAGTAATTTAGTGAACTGTAACGGAAAAGTAATCAAATTTGTGTTTAATTTAAACTTGTTTTGTTATTTTTTTTTTTTATTTTTTGTTTTGAAAAATTAATTCTAATACTTAAATATGAAAATGAGTGGCAAATTATATTTTTAAGGTAATTTATGAATTCTTCAAGAATTGTTTTACATCAATTTGTATCTTATTTAATACATACAAGATCAGCTCATTACGAATAGCATTGCAAACAGCTTGAAAACTATAGCTTGTCTACTTTGATTTCGGCATCAATACTCTGATGCTCGGAAATGCTCTGAAAGGGTTTCAATTTTTTTTTTATGAAAAATGTTATCTTAAGTCAATCCTACAGTCGTCTCAATTTGTTTCATATTCTTTGAACATCAATAATACCCCACTACTTCTAACTCTACTTACCCACTACTCAATTTGAGATCTTAGTCGCTGTAATTTCTTTAAGCAGGAATCATAATTATCGATTTCTTTGATCTTCACACTGTAGTTTAGGATGTTCAAAAGTGCCTTTGCATTGTGCCCTGTCCGATAGCTGTCGCATTAAAACGTGACACGTCCACTATTTCATAAGATTGTTTCCAAACGCTGCAAAATATTGTAACGTGTCTAGGAAAGGGTCATATTCCAAATGAATGGTCTCCGAAAATTTTGAACATCAAAACTTCACCGTTAAACAGAAGCTAAACGATGTTGTTCTGATTGGAGATGTTCTTTCCACACATAGGTGTTATGCGGAGGCTAAAAACAACGCTTGACTAGTTTGTTTACTTCCGACATGGATATTACGCGCAGTAGCCAAAACACCGCTTGATATGGTAGATTTCTTTCTCACCCTCGATATTGTGCCCAATAACCAAAAGCAAAGCTCGACTTGGGACGCTATGGAGATTGTGTGCACCGGCCAAACCCAGCGTTTAACTTGTTACACTTTTTCTTCGTACATATGCCGCAAAAGCTAAAAGCAGCATTGCAGAGACGGATGCACATATCATTGCTGAGCTAGCTAGTTCGGAAAGTATGGTGGGTGGGGGGAAGGGAGTGGGTGTACATTTTTTGTCCCACGGACGCTCCACAGGCTTACATCTAAAGGAAATAAATATGCTTTACCCCTATAGGGATAAACGCACGGACGAAACCTACCTAACGAACGGGTAGATCATGAGCCTTAGGCCATTCTGTGCCTCACCTTACCTATTGTCTCAATCCCCCCATGATTTTTGATGGGAGAGTTTGCTTTTGAAAGCCATACTGATAATAACGATTAGCTCCAAACAACCACTAAAAAGCCAACTACGGACGATGAAGCCGCTAAAGTCTTTCCTCTACTTGAAATCCTGAGTCAATTTATTAAAATTTGAAAGTAACTATATCTTTTATTTTCGGTTGGCTTGGCTGGGCTTCCTCGCTTGCCGAAACGGATTGCTCCTAATTATTTGCGGATATGCACACTATGACCTTAACCTCAATTTAGCTTTGGAAGTTTCCAAATACAGACTATATCAATGATTATTGTCTGCACCGGGTGTGAAGCCTTAATCAGAGGGGTTCCCTAGAGCCAATGGCAATTAACATAGTTCAATTAGGCACTCCTCAGCCAGGCAAGACAATCCTGCATGAGACAGAGTCTATTTCAAGCACTGAATATAAGAGGTAAAAATTCGGGTATGGTCCAAACAATCCCGTCTGGGCAGAACGCGGCCTATCAAGCACCTCTAATTATTTAATGCCCCCGCATTGGGACACAACCACGGCCACCACGAGTACTCCCCGAAAGTCCGCATCCCAGCTGTCAGGTCTCAAACATCGGTTAATCTGTAACGTTCAAATTGTAATTGGACATACCACCTTCCGCCGAAGTTTCTACATAGTATGTCAGTATGCAACCGTCCCCCCGAAGGAACTTCGGCAATCGGCAGTTGGACCAATGCGCTTAAGCAGGATACTCCTAACCTTAAGTGAGCATGCAACCTGACCCTCGTAGATTCAATAACTCATAGCATGCTTTAAAATTATCGGCATTTGCTTGTCATTATGTTCGTAATTTCACTCTTGGATTTTCCATACTTCCGGAAAAGCCATCCTTACTACTCTCCCCCTTGGATTTTTTGTACTAGGCGAAGTAATCAATCCAGCTCACGCCAGGCACCCATTAAACTACACGACAACTTTAGCCACGAAATGGATTTTGAAAGACAAATCTAAATATATCGCTTAAATACCTTGAGCTCGCAACACAATGACGTCGCGCTTTTATTTCATGGCTGATAATAAACATTGAACACATGATAAACAATGTTAGACAAGATGGACAAGAATGATCATAGCCGCCTTCTAAGCAAATTTGTTTGCTCTTATAAAGTTTCTGAACTTTTCAATGATCGCTAATGGTTCGATGTTCTTAAGTAATCGTAAACATAAATTTAGGTTAAAGCGCCGTTATTTTGTCCTCATCAATTTCATGCATAGTAGATTTTAGTGTTAGTTTATAATAAATATTTTAATTAAGTTTAGTATGTTAAGCAAATTGGATTATAAAGCAGCAGTGCTGGGAATAATTATTTTCAGGAACTCTTAGGTAAACGAGATTCAAAATTATTTAAAGTATCATCATGGATATGGAAGCATACATTTGCCCGTATGGGCGAAGATTGGGTATTTTTAGCTTTACTCGGAATTATAATGGCATTATTATCCTATATTATGGACAAAGGCATATCAGTATGTACGAATGGTAATTAATAATCAAAATTCTCGCTTATTTATTATTCAATTTAAATATTTATTATTATAGCACGCGTTTGGCTCTACCGCGATTTAACTTCACAACCAATTGCTCAGTATTTTGCTTGGGTTTCATTGCCCGTATGTTTAATATTATTTTCAGCCGGTTTTGTACATTTAATAGCCCCACAAAGTATAGGTAAGTGAAGGAGTAAGTTAAGTAAATTGCTTTAAAATCACACACACACACATACACACCTCTCATTTGTACTTAAAATCCCTTAGGAATTATTAGATTTATTCGTAAAATTCATTTCTTCTTTTTTCTTTTCTTTTTGTTTTCTCTTTTCCACTCAATTTCTTACTTACTTACTTTACTTGAATGGTTTTTATTTAAAATTAACTTGAATTGCTTTAAGAGAAATTATACATTAAAATTCAAGTTTAATTGAAGCCTCTGCAGCAGAGTTGCCTCAAATGAATAATTTGTGGCCTCCCTTCCTCTCTCTGACTTTCTCTTCTTTATGATTTGGATTTTTGTCCTTCTTTTCCTTTGTTTCTTAAACTTTTCCTTTTTATTTATTTTTTTTTTTTCATTATCTGAATGATTTTGTTCACACTGTTCAGCGATTGAATTACGTGTTACTATCTGCATACATCCAAAATGCCAATTTGACAAAAGGATGGCGTTACTCTCTTTGCGATCGTTTGATAGATTGTGATATTTCCTTGTACTATGAAAGTACTACATATAAGCTTTGCATATATAGGCATAAGTCATCCTGCCGAAGGGTATAAAAGTTAATTTTTTCGAGCTTTATCCGTCTAAGTGGCCAAGTAGGCAAGAGTCTCGACTAGCAACTCAATGGTCGTGGGTTCAAATCTCAAGTGCGTTAGGGTTTTTAATAAAGCCGAAAGCCTTAGATCCTAGTGCTTTAAGACGTTAGTCTTAGAATTTATTTTCTGGCTAAATTTATAATAATAATAATAATAACAATTTTTTTGAGTTTTATAACGAAAGCGGGCATGCGAGGGAAGCTTTATTTTTCAATGGATGATACTGCTGAAACGTGACAGATGTAGAATAGTAAGAAGCAAGTCTTTTGCGATGCCCAGCTAAGCACTTGATGTAACTGCGTACAGAAAAGGGAAATAACATTCTAGGACCAGAAAAATATGGCAGCGAGCGACAAGCGAGAAATTAACCTTTTGGCTTAGCACTGATTTCAATTGATGGCTTATCGTCCATTCGAACAAGTATTCGAATCTTATGGCGGTACCGAAAAATGAAGGCTTACATAGATGCCGCCAAAAAAGCGGTTCCTCTTTTGCCATCGAATGCATACCCTACGCATGAAAGAAGGAAAAATATGTCACGCCTTGAATAACACATCTATTATCGATTGCTTGGAATACACCCACTTTTTTATATCCTACTATATTAAGTTTGCGCGGATGTTTGTCTCTTTACCCGTTTGATAAATCCTTTTTTAGGTTCAACCTACAAGTCGCAGATTTTGCGATATTTTGTGCGTTAAAGCTCTTCAGCGAAAACTATTGAAAATGAACTGGATGGAACCAGTCTTGCAATCACATCCCACATAAGGAGTTATTTTAAGAAGGGTAATATAGGAAAAATTTGCATTTTCAGAACTTTTCTCAGACATTGTTAACTAATTAGGTTTCGGCGTATTACTTGGGCAGTATGGATCATGTGGGCCCTGGCCAAGAGCAAGTTTTACGAAAAGTACGCTTTTATATGACAACAAAATCTAATTATTAAGATTTTAAAGTGGACTTGGTCCATATTAATAAATTGAACTTCAAAATTAACTGTTCGAAATTTAGGCTGCATGGGACTACTTTTGAAATTCCACCCCATATAAGAGTTCGCATCTTAAGTAGGTCTTAATGGGCAACAAATTGTAATTTTTGGTATTTTATGACCAAAGTGAAGAAAATTAAAAATTTGCTGAATTTGCAAAGCATCAGTTTTTCTCTCGGATCTTCTCAAATAAAAAAGCTCCCTTAGAAAGTGTGCCTTTCAGAGGGGAACAAGGTATAATTATGGTGCAAGGGCTTATTATGTTTATGCGGATGGGTGCAACACCCAGAAGGACTTGAGATATATCCATCTTTCCGTATGCTGCCCGATTCAGAATCTCAGATCACAGAACTAAGCTTTTCTGTTCGTCCATCCTTGTGGTGCTTGGCCGTATTCTTGTGTTCAACTTACAGGCCGCAATTTTTTAGACACTTTGTTAAAATTTCGTGCACTCGTGTATTTTGGCCCAAGGGCAAACGAAGTTGAAAATGGTTCGGATCGGTCCACCTTTTCGACCACTTATCATGTAATGATTTATTTTGAAAAGTCGTTATGTCGTTGTAAAAATTGTGGGTGGATTAGAGTATTTCATGTTGAGCCGTATCCAACTATAATCTTTTCACTTGATTTTTTTTTTTTATTTTTTGGTTTCAGAAATCGCATTGCATATTTACGCAGATAATATACTCTCTGATCAAAAAATAAGTTTGTTTGTTTATAGAACTGGAAATCTTTACTTATTTTCTTCGAATTTAATTTCGTCGCCTTGATAGTCCTAAAATAATACGATAAAAAGTCTGCCATCGCCTCAAGGGTTTAGGCGTTTGGAAGACCAATGGCATTTGACGTGCTTTTCGATAATTATTTGATCTGATTACCAATTATTTCAATCGAGATAAAATCATCACCTAGGGTTCTATTACAATCTGGTTCAGATCCTGGACAGCATTTTTTTAATCCGGAATACGTTGCCTACTTAAAAAGTGGACCATGTTATAAATAATATTATTTTTTTTTTACGAAATAGCAATGACAACTAGAAAATTATTAAAATATCCCTTTACCTAACCTAACCCTAGATTCGATTAAGTTATGGCAACATTGAGGTTAAATACCTCAAGGTGAAGCATATTTTCATTATCGCACTTCAATTCGTTATTGTGAATACTATGTTTTCATTTCTAATTTAGGTTCCGGGATACCAGAAATGAAAACCATATTGCGTGGTGTGGCTCTTAAAGAGTATTTAACTTTTAAAACTTTAGTGGCCAAAATTGTTGGCTTGACGGCAACTTTGGGCAGCGGTATGCCATTAGGAAAGGAAGTAAGTATTAAAATTGTGCGTATATCTCATATTCTCATTTATCATTTATTTATCATTTTGTTTCTCATTTACCTATTATTATGGTATTAAACAGTCTCTCTTGTTTCGTTACTTCATATATCGTCTTATAGGGTCCTTTCGTACACATAGCAAGTATTGTAGCACAATTATTAAGTAAGCTAGTGACATCATTCCAAGGTATCTATGAAAATGAATCGCGTAATTCAGAAATGTTGGCTGCCGCATGTGCGGTGGGTGTGGGTGCTTGCTTTGCCGCCCCTGTGGGAGGTAAGTAAATTTTTTGATTTCTCCCCCTCTCTCTCTCTCTCTCTCTCTGTCTCTCTTTCTCTCACTCGCCATCTTTATGATCTTAACTTTTGCTTGTTTTGATGACGCAATAGGAGTTCTATTTAGTATTGAGGTAACAACCACTTATTTTGCGGTACGAAATTATTGGCGCGGCTTTTTTGCTGCCGTATGTGGTGCTACGGTTTTTCGTTTACTGGCGGTTTGGTTTCAAAATTTGGATACTGTTCGTGCAATATTTTTAACTAATTTTACCACCGAATTTCCGTTTGATCCTCAGGAATTATTTGTATTCGCTTTAATGGGGTAAGTCGAAAAGAAGGCTTGTATGGAAGAGATTCGTCGTAATAATGTTTTCATTTCAGCTTGATTTGCGGTATTGGCGGGGCAGCTTATGTTTGGGTTCATAGACGTTATGTTTTATTTATGCGTTCAAATAAAAAAATGAACAAATTTTTACAAAAAAAGTAAGTTTATCAAATATACTATAGCAATGGACTTTTATAGAAAAAGCAAATTTTGACCAAAAACTGAAAAGTATCAAATTTTGCAAAAGCTTAAAGATTATTTAACGAAACAAATTACGCTTAACTTAAGGCTATATTCAGCTTTCGGTTGTGGAACTAAGTAAAAATTCTATAATTAGTTGCGACCCACCATTAATACCCTACAGCACTTTGCCTAATACAGCCACTCCTGCAACCTTTTTGAAAAAGATTGGGAAAAGCTCGAAAAAGCAATCCGATCCTAACAATTTTCATCCTAGGTCCAAAAATGTCTGTGTACTAAATTTTATCGAAACGTCTCACAACTTGTGACTTGTAAATTCAACGGACAGATGGACATATAAGAGTAGATCGATGCGGAAAGTGATTGTGAATTGAATGGAATAATAGGTGGGCCCATTTTTCAATAGCGTTGGTTCTTGGACTGAAGCATATCGGTACATTAAATTTCAGTAAAATATCTCAAAAATTTCGACTTGTGGCTAGCACACAAGAAAACAAGACAGACAGACGGACAAGCTTTAATCGATTCAGACGGGGACTGTAGATCGGATGAAAAGTAGGTCTCTCCCAAATGCTTCCTCACAAACTTGACATATCCACAATAATATATGGGTATAATAAAGCGCGGCGAGAGAGAGACGGGAAAGTACCTTAAACTATTTATTGCAAATAGTAAAGTCACTCAGCATTTTGGATGATAAAAAGAGAAAATCAAAACAAAATAAAGGCACGTGACCCTACCCCTCACTAATTCTTTAGATGTCTTCAAGAAATGTGCGTGTCAACGGACGGCTTATTCCTATAATGTGTAAATTATCCGACATGACTTATACAACACTCAGTTCGTCGAGCATGGTTAATATTACAGTAGCACAGTACGCGAGCAACAACTGACGTGCTTTAAAGTCGTCCCGCATAGCGCAAGAAATGATTTGATTTATATCCGAAAGATGACCGTAATAATAATAATGCTTTCTTTGCTTTTAGCCGTTTTTTATATCCGGGTTTCTTGGCTCTTCTGGTCTCTACTATTTCATTTCCTTTGGGAACTGGGCAATTTATCGCTGGCGAGCTGGCTACACATGAACAAGTCATTCAACTATTTAGCAATTTTACCTGGTCACGTGATGATTTGACCGTGGAACAAGCAGCAATTGTTACGCACTGGGTAACGCCCTACACCAACGTTTTCATCAACCTCACTTGTTATGTAATATTTACCGTGAGTTTTAAAATGTTCGCCTTTTAATCCTGTAACTGATTTGCACTTTCTACCTCCTTTTTTTTAGTTCATTTTCTCTATTATCGCGTCCACAATACCAGTGCCTTCGGGTATTTTTATACCAGTTTTCAAAATTGGTGCAGGCTTGGGACGTTTGGTGGGTGAGAGTATGCATTTGTGGTTTCCAAGTGGTGTACGTTACGGTGGTCGTTTATCACCAATTATACCCGGTGGTTATGCTGTGGTTGGTGCAGCCGCATTCTCCGGCGCTGTAACACACACAGTTTCCGTAGCGGTTATTGTTTTCGAAATGACGGGTCAAATAACTCATGTAGTGCCCGTAATGATTGCCGTCTTGGTAGCGAACGCTATAGCCGCTCTATTGCAACCTTCTATGTACGATAGCATTATCTTAATTAAAAAGTTACCGTATCTCCCCGATTTATTACCCTCAAGTTCCGGCATGTACAGTATATATGTGGAAGACTTTATGGTGCGCGATGTTAAATATATTTGGCAGGGCATATCGTATCAAAAACTTAAAGAGGTCTTGAAAGCAAATAAAACCTTGCGTTCTTTACCCCTGGTTGATAGCCCGGCAAATATGATCTTATTAGGTTCCGTGCAACGTTATGAGCTAATTAAAATGATCGAAAAGCATATCGGTCGTGAGAAACGAATGGAAGTTGCTCAGAAATGGCAGAAAGAGGCTGAAGAACGAGCACGCGAAGAGGAAAAGAAAAAACAAGAAGTCGAACAAAAAATGCGAAGACCATCGCGTTTTGAAGTTCTCCCAGCGCCGGATATATTAAGTTTAAGGCAAATAGCGAATGATGAAATGCTTCCGCCCAAGAAGCGTCAAGAGTCCATGAATAATACGCTTCAACCTCGTAAATCTATTTTAAAAAAGACAAATTCCTTTAATCTTAAGGCATTCACACCTACCTCATCATTACATAGTCCTAATATAACGCCATACACAACTATAACGGGCACGACAGAGTACCGTATACGCAACGCTTTCGAGGCAATTTTCAAGAAATCAACCACACTGCAAGACGTTCAGCCAACAAATTCGGAAGGAGTTGGCACAATGTCAGCGGCTACCAGCGCTGATGTTGTTCCAGGCACACCGACCGTGCAAAGAGCACCCAGTACACCGGGCATATCCAAAAAAGTTCAGTTGGTAAGCAATTCATTTATTTATTTATTTTTTTTTTGAAAATTGATTATCTATCGTATTTTAATTGATTTGTTGTTGATCGAATTTATGTTGATTGAATTGATTTTTTCGGTTTTAGATGATTTTTTTAACAAACAATTTTATGATAATTAATTTTTTTAAAATATAAAAAAAAAAAAAAAACACACAAACAAAATACAAAGCAAGCACAAAATTCCTATTCCTCCTCCAATTCCTCACATAATTCAAACGATGAGGATGACGATAATATGGTAATTATTTCTAAAACATTTTTCTTAAATATGTTGTTTAAAATTTTTTTAAAAAAAGCACTTAATCTTATATCTAAAATATTTGCAAGCAAGCACAGCCAATTACTAATCAAAGAAACTTTAAATGCCTCACAAAACGTCCGCCCACGCCACCACGTCATCGTCATTTTGACTCATATGAAAGTCCTTTACGACGATTTCAAATACGACCGACAATTATCATTGATTCTCCTTTGAAAAGTCACAAAATTAATCCAATTACTGACAATCACGTTGCCCCTGTGAAGACAATGATTGGTTGCGATCTTGATAAAGATACAAAAGAAGAGGTAAGTATATTTTCTGCCAATATAAGTATAAGATAACATACAATTGAAACTAGAAATTGCCTAGAAAAGTCCATTCTCTAGTGTGTGGTGGAACTGTAGTTATGTAATAGTATAAAGGACCACGGTCTACCGTTAACTACCCTACATCACTTGGACAAATACAGTTACTCATGCAAAGACTTTTGAAAATAATGCTTTATATACTCCGGTCCGAACCAGTTCCATTATTATTGGTCCTTAGTCCAAAACACATCGATGTGTCAAAGTTTATCAAAATATTTTTACATATTGCAGCCTACAGGTTGAACACCAGAAAACAAGACGGACGGACGGACAAAATTTTATCGCATTTGAAAGTGATTTTGAATCGATTGGTATAATAAAAAGTGGGTCTATCTCAAGTCCGCACAAACTTAATACGCCCTACGAGTGGGATCATATATTAGTACGGAAAAACTTGAATTTCTAATTAAGGTGACTTAAAGAGGTTCTCATATAGACTCGTCAGTTTTCGCGAATCGTACGCTCCTCTCGGACACTGAATTAAGATTAGATTGTAACTTTATTTCCCTTCACACTTTCGCGATAGTTGAAGGTAGATTTCCTTATATAATATTAAAGAAAGAAGTATGCGTACCCTGTCTTTTCGTTTGTAGAACCATGAAAAACGTGCGGATTTTTGATTAACGTAGGATTTTGACTCAGTTTAATTCGACTGCCTGTTTGCGGGTCAGCTTATCTTGGATCCCAAGGATACCAATAGTAAACTAAAATCTTCAAATTTGAAAATAAGCGCATACGCATTAATAAGAAGAGTGTAGTCTTGTAGGTACTGCGTATCCCAGTAGCTAAAAAGCGCGACTTAATAGTCAGCCTAGCCGACTCTCTCTGCCCCAATACCGTAGACCATACCTCAATTAGGGTTGATGTTCATAATTCCAGTGAGCACTGCCTCGATAAATGCTTAATATGTAGAAAACGAACACACAACTCCCACGTTGCGAATACTCCCTCTCCCTATATCTTTCTGACCACCAACCTGTTACCACACATACACCGTATCCCTTGAGTGGTCATATAAGTACATAGGCGGGAAAATTCTGCGGTGTTTTACTACTTGGAAGCAAACAGGTAGATTACTTGGATTCTTATTATATAGCGTGCGTCTCATTGGGATATGAAATCACTCTTTTTAACATCCTGCGAAGTGCAGAGTGAATAAGCTGGTAGTGGATAAAGTACATTTAACACATTCCTTGTAAAAACTTAAAAGTCACGTTGCGGCGAACTGCCAAAAATGATTTGTCAGGGACGGTTTGCAAATTTCATTCCAAACACTTCATTCTTAAAGAAGATAGTCCGATAGTCGAAAAAATTTGTGAAGTGTACGATGAGAATGCTGAAAGTAACCGTAGGACGCAGGACTCCAGAAATTTTGATCCACTTCGCTTTGGTCGACCAGTCACTGCAAAAGTCGATGAAATTTTGCAACTCGTGGAGTAAGGCTGGCAGGCAAGCGGTCAGAAAATAGCGGAAACATCAACCAAATTACAATTTGGAATCATTTGAAAAGAGCAGACTACAAAAAGTAACTCAAAAGAACCTCGGAGCCTTTTCATATCACCCGTCATATGTATTTCGGATATCTAATAATGCTAAGCAGTTTAGTCCAAGTACCAAAAAATTAATAAGAAATCAAAAAATGTATACATCGAACATTTTTGATATTTAAAGTTGATAATTGGCAGATTTCAGACTATACCTTTAGAGTTCAGAGTTGCAGAGTTACATGGTATGGCCAATGTATCGACTAATATAGCTCGTCTACCTCTAGCCTATAGTTTATTATGCCTATGACTAATATAGATCGTATACCTCTTATATTTTGATTTAAAGTCCAAGTTAGAGCTTACATGTGGAGTTTTATAGAAACGTGAACTTGGTCCAGCGAATTCGGAGTTCGAGGAAGGCGCAGCACTGAGTATGGGCAATAGAATCAAAGCGCTAATCAAAACAATTTATCTTAGTGTTAGATATTGAACAGCAGAACTCGCAGGAATATAAAGAGCATGATGTCCTATGGACATCCAAAACATTCAAGCATTCATTATTCATATTTCAAGCTGTAAAAACAACTACGTTTTTTTCTAAATTTTGACAGATTTACTTTCCGTTTTTTTTTCTCTTAAAAAATTTGTTTTTTAAATGCTAACCCTTAAGAATTTGGATAATTCAAATAAAACTGAAACTAATGACCTTTGCAATCACAACGAAGAGGTAAGGAGGCATGGCATTGGAATGATGGAATGATTTTACATAATTTTGCAGTGTTTTGAGTTGAGCATCCAAGTGCTATTAAATACGCAGGGTTGATGGAAATTTAATAAAATGCGATTTATCTTTTTTTATTTCTTCTCCTCTTTCTCTTTTTCTTATAATTTCTTATAATTTAACTTTATTTAGTCGTACATGGGAAGTATAAAAAAGTTGAAAAGCGTTCAATTGGTAGGTGTGATTTATCCACGGTATAAAGAAATTTTATTTAAATTAAAAAAAAAACAATAACAACAACAACAACAACAAAATGTTTAAGTACATTATGTACGTTATTGAAATTTTCTAAAAAATCTTCTTTTATAGCCGCGTGAGCGAGTCATTGACATGTCGCCCGAGGATCAAAAGAAATGGGAAATGGAAGAAATGCAAAAACCGATAGATTTAGAAAAGGCCAATGTTCATATCGATCCCTCGCCATTTCAGCTGGTCGAACGGACTTCCATACTCAAAGTACATTCACTTTTCTCGATGGTTGGCATTAATCATGCGTATGTAACAAAAATTGGTCGTTTAGTGGGCGTGGTGGGTTTAAAAGAGGTAATAAAAAATTAGATGTAATAAAATACACCGAACACTTCTTTTACGCGGAAAATGCTTTTCGGAGAAAACCGAGCAAAAAGAAATTGCAAAAAAAAACCATGCGATATATGGTAAATTTGGGGATTTTAGAGAATCGTGTATGATGAAAAAACCCTAAATATCTAGCCAAAAACCGTGCCAAAAGTGATAATGAAATCCATATGACCTATAAGTAAAAACAAAAATAAAAAAAAATATTTTTTTTTTTCTCTAAAAAAAAATAATATTAGTGTACAGTGAAAATTCAGTCCTTAAACATAACATAAGTAAAACTATGGTGACATTAGAAATGCAAATCTATTCCACATTTGATAACAAGCCTGCACGTTCATTATGAACTAGATCAAAAATGCTATTATCAGTAGATATGTCAGGTACATCTAGCACAGCTGTCAAAATTAAATTAAGAATAAAATCTTTATTAGGATTCATGCCAGAATAAAATATTCGTGTAAAAAAGACCGTGTAAAAAAGACCGTGTAAAAAAGGGTTAGATGTATTGAAAATTTCCCAAATTTGTTTCTATATTTAACCACTATTATTAATATTATTCACAGTTACGCAAAGCCATTGAAGATATAAATAGCAATAATTTTGTGGTTCAAGTGCAATTAAAAGATGACAACGATTGTGCTGATGATGTGGAGAAAACAAATGGTTCAAAACCGTTACTGCTGCCACAAGATTACAGTGATAAGCAAGTCAATGTTACGGTTACCTCGATGGATTCAGCTTTATCGAATTCAGATAATTGCTCGGATATTGAATTGGAAAATATACAAAAAGCAACAGAAGCGTCTGAAGAATCGGAGGAACAACAAAAGCAGCAGCAACTACCACAGATAAATGACACAAGTACATATAATCCTAAGCCACGTGATTCAATCGAGTAGATTGCCACCAAACGTCTCCTATCTAAATTCATTCTCTTCCAAAAGTAAAAAAAAAGCAAAAAAAAGAAGTTCAACTTTTTTTATATTAATTTTAAATTATTTTTAAATTAAGATTAAAAGTACACCAACCAACGCTATCTAAAATGTTTTTTTTTTTTTTTCATAACATTTTGTGTTTTCAAGACATTCGTTAACTTTTCATTTTATTTACATGTCTGATGTGCCTTTTTTTTGTGCTGTGTACGTTCTGCATTACAAAGAAGTTTCAAATTGATTGATTTAGAAGACAAGAAAAAACAAAAGAAAAAAAAAGAATAATTTATAGTTCTAAGCCCTTAAATTGTAATTGTAAAATAGCTTAAAAGAAACAAGAAAATTTTTGCCTTAAGAAAACATACAAAAACAAAAAAAAAAAAAAAAAAAATATAAATAAAATTTTATAAAATTTCTACTTACCTTGTAATTTGAAAAGAAATTGAAATGCATTGCATTCACTTCGAAAGACGTTTTGAACAATGAATGTGAGGTGCTTAGGGGAAAAGCAAAACACTAAACACGCCGATGGCGCATATGCATTGCTCGTCATGCGAGATATTTTTTTAACCTTACACCACTTGTGGTACGCAAGGTACACGGGGTATATTACGTTTGTGCGGATGTATGGAACATCCACAAGGACTTGAGAAAGACCAACATTTTATTACGCCAACCGCTCTACAATCACTATCTGAATCGACTAAACCTTGTCCGTCTGTCTATCTTTTGTTGTGTTCAACCTAGAGATCGCAATGTTTGAGATTTTTTGATGAAATTTGGTACGATGCGTTTTAGCATAAGAACCAACGCTATTGAAAATAAGGACGAATCGGGCCACTTTTTCAACCATTCCCTACATTACGCCTTATTTTGAAAAGTCATTATATAAATAACGATAGGGTATTTAATAGTGGGCTGTGTCTCACTACAGTGTTTTCACTTGTTTTCATATGATTTTTGCTCGAACAATGCATTACAAGCTGTACGTTCACCTACATATATATACAAACGCAATACAATTCAAGCGTAGTTTGATACTTGAGTGCACGATGCGAACACTTATATTTCAGTGATGATGGATACAATTTTTTTGTATATTGTTAATGACTTTTTTTGTCCCATTCAAATGTAATATATTGCATGCAAGAATGCAAAAGAAAATAAATTTGAGCATATGAGATTTCACAAATTCGTAACCTTTCCTTCTGAAGATTGTAGAATTTTCATAAGAGAGGTTAGGATAGATAGCTAGTTTAACTACATAAGTCTAAGGCTTTCTAAAAAGAAGTTACACAGATTAGGTAGAGACTAGGGCTAAGCTAGACCAAGAGGAGGAATTATTGGTTAAGCAGCTAAACTACATTAGGGAAGAAATTTAACTTGTATAAATACGTGGGAGGAACGTACCGCGATCTACATGAAGTCTGATATACACCCATGCTCCCAGCCACCCTGTTTCAGGATTTTTACGAATCATTCTTTGGATCAGAGGAGCTTACCGTGTGCGATGTAAGATGCTCGTCAAACACATGGTGTCTGATTTTACAGAAAGCTTCACAATTTCGCCATTTTCCAATTTTTTAGCGTCGATGCCCATCCCAGGCCGACATCGGCAGTGTAGTTACCGTGAACCGGTGAGATAGTACTTACTTTACAGCACAATGAGCCGGCATCTCGACAAAGATTCGTCCATAAAATTTTTCAATAGCTCTAGGCGGTGACATTCGACAGTGTAACTGCGCCCAGGTAAGCCTCTTTTTCTATAGCAACAGGGCATTCTAGGAGCAGGATCTTATCGCCCCGGTTGGGATTGATTTAACCTCGTTGTTACCGTTTTTTGCTTCACCTTAGCTAAAAAGTTACCGTGGGAAATATTATAGTGATATAAGACCAGTAGATCAATTTTTGGGCTTATACCAAAGGTTTTGCGTAAAGGCGTTAGCAGACAATGACCGGTTTGGTCGCCTTCTCCTCTAGCCGTCTTAAGTTAGGATTCCAAGTGAATCCTTTGTCACGCTGCTAGATTTTACACTTCATTTGAATAGTCAAGGGCCACATCCTGTAAGTGGACGTTCTCCAATATTAATTTCCTTTTCTTCGAGGAGGGCACAAGGATCGTTTTCTGCTAATTAATGTTCAGTCTTTCATTCTGGCGCTACTTGTGGGTTAGGCTTAGGTCCTTTTGCATGCGATCACTGAGTGTTTGTTTATGCCAGCCCACCACGGGGATTGCCAAGTTGTCTACATAACCTAGTGTTTTGAATCCCAGGTCGTTTACTTTCACTAGCAGCTCATCTATGACGGCGGACTAAATAAGCGGAGAAAACGCGCAACCTTGGGGGCACTCCTGCTCCTGCCAACTTCGAAGTAACGGCCATGAAATTCAGCAAATAGATTATTCAATTCATAATCAGTTTCAAAATACTTTTATTTTCTATAGCCGTGTACGAACTATTGCCAAACGCCCTGTGTATATCGATGAAAGCAACAAGAGCCACTAGCTTGGCTTCTATCGCCCCCTCGATGATACTACTTAGAGCATAAATTGCGGTTGTGGAAGATTTGTCGTTTTGATAGGTAATTAAACCCTTTGTCTTAAGATTTAATAGGAAAGAGACGTCTGCACATTGGTTATTTAATTTTAGAGGAAAAAAAAAAGAATTTTTATCTATTAGGAATTTACGTTAAATTATTCCATTCGCTGCCAGGATCTCTTGGGGAAAACACCAACTAGGGTCCTAGGTTTTTTAATCTGATGCAAACATGTCACGTGATGTACATGGTTTTTTAAATATTACTTCATTCGCCATCAGGGTCTCTTGGGAAAAACACTGACCACAGTCCAAGATTGTTTAAACTGCAGTGGACGTAGTAACGGGCAAAACTCGTTATTCCCATTTAAAAAGTTAAGGTATGTGAAGAACACATTAGTCAGCCCAGAAAAAAGAGATGTGATAACGGCACGAATTGTACATCAATTGCGTAAACTGACAGTCATTTAGTGATAGTTTCCTTTACGTAAATCGGCGGTTTTACTCCCGCTTGACGACTCGTTTGTTTACATTTTTTGTTTTTCTCTTTGTGTCCATGTATGAGTAACCATAACATTCGTAAATCGCTTTCGCGCAAAATAGCTATAATTTTTTATACAAAAATTAAATAAATAAATAAATTACTAAATAAATAAGAATTTTTTTTAAAAATCTAATTTTCTGTAGTCATCAAATTTACAAAAGATTAATAAAATATTCTTGCTAAGCACTATGCTAGTGTTGGACAAAATGCACCACAATGCCGTTCTGTGTCTTTCAATGGCACACAGGATAGGCACAATTCAAGTTTTATACCTTTACAGGTGTAGCACTATTGTAAACTCTTCTTCTTCTTCTCCGCTTAATAGATTCTTTGAAACCACAATTCGCCTATGATGGCACAGCGTCACCGTAAGCCTCTGAAGGTGTTTGGTGGGCTTTAGCAGCAGATTCCTTCAAATCGAGCAACAAAAGTAATGAATGCGAAAGAAAGAGAATTTTGAGCGACCCATGATTAGCGTCGGCGTGACGTGAATACATCAATAATATTGAATGAAAAAACTGTTATTTTATGTAGAGGAATGTCAAAACCATCGAATTCAAAGTAGAATCTGGCTGATCAAAATTTTTGCAAACACCTAATAGAAAGTAAAAAAAAAAATTTAATTTTGTTTTTCTATTTCTTTTTCTTGCTTACAGTTTAATTTTCTTTCACACTTTATTGAGTTTTTCGTATACAATTTTCGTCATCGTTTTCATTGTAGCTCTTATCATCATTGTAAATGTTACTAATGTTACTACTACTGCTTTTAAGTTATTATATATTAAAGGGAACAAAAACTCTTAAATGAAAAAAACTTGGTTTTTCGTGTCCCTATGACTTAAAGTTAAAAAAAATATATGTTAAGAATTTTTTCAAACTAAGTGACTAATAACTGTGATGCATACTCGGAATAAACGGCAATCGCGTTTGCTTCACTCAACTTTCTTGAGATTATTTATTGAGTGAATGAAAATTTTTGTTACGTATTACTCGATGCTTTGGAGCAGAGAATTGGGGATAAAGGATAGTTTTTTTTTGTTATTTCGCCATGCGAAGTTCTATCCGCCAGACATGACAGGAAAGAGAAAACAAAACAAATTTCTTTTCTTGAGACGCAACTCGAATATATGCGGTTATCTAAAAGACAGTTCCGAATTTCGAACTGTACCGTCTAACTCTCTTGAATTCAACCTACAGATTGCAGTCTTTGCTACTAAAGGCCAACGCTGTTAAAAATGGTTCCGCTTGGATCATTTCTTCGACCACTTCCCATATTACTTTATTTCCTTTAGTTTGATAAGTCGATATATGAATAACCGTAGGCTGGTTTAGGGCCGTGTCCAAGTAGAACCTTTTTTTTGCAATTTTGTTCAAGAGACCATATTTCATTTTTGCGCCGATGATGTACACTGTGATCAAAATATATAGCGAACTTATTTATAAAACGAAAAATTTTTCCAATTCTCGAAAAAGTCCGAGAAGTCTTTCGGACTTTTCGGACTTTTCATATCAGGGCTAGATCAATTCCGGTTTGATATTTTTCGTACGTAGAAATTGCTCTTATCTTCATCTTGTTATCTTCTCAATGAAGACGAAACAACGCCACTGCAGAATTCTTTTGTATTTATTGAATAACTCAAAATCCCACAATATTGAATCGGATGAATACAATGACAGTGAAACGACGTGGATCGAAAGGGTCTGAATGCGAAGAATGAACTTAAAGATTAGGTGTTGTTGGAACTGATCGAGACTTCGCGAGTTTGAGACACGCATTGCTTTGAGTTGACTCAAACGAAATGCTTACAATATAGATAAGATCTCTAATTGTTAACTGGTGATATCCGCATATCAAATATTTGATTTCCTTGACATGGCATGTAACGATAAATTTTAATTGTCGTCCCGGGCACCCTCTATCTTGA